CATTGGAAGCCATGAACCATTGAACAGTTGCTTCGTTCTGGTACGCGACTAATTGACAATGAACATTTACATCTCCACCACAAGTCGCATTCAGGAGATTCAACTCTCTTAATGAATGCTTAACCAGTAGAGCCACTAAGTCAGAATTCAATACCGAAATCTCAATTCCAACCAATTCGTGATAGAATACGATGGTCATCCAGTGACACTGATGACAACTTCTTGACTATTGACGTATCTGAACTCTACCAATCCTTACTTCTCACTAGAACTTCAATAACTTGTTGAAGTAATTCACTGGTTATCTGAGTATTACACTTTAGTAGAAGTGGTATTGTGGAGAGTGATATGAATTTTTAGGTTGGATTCGTCACAAATAGTATTTTAGCAAAAGACACTGCATTCGTCTTTTTAACAATTGAGCATTGTGAATACGGTGAAATCATGACTGAAATTAAATCACCTGTTGTATAGTCAATTTGAACGTTTGCTTTGACCTGATCACTTCAATCCTAATATCCGATAGTTGCAATCATTTGCCTTGTTAACATTTTCTCTTGACATACTACTGAACTTTCCTTGCTTCTATTGAGATTGAAGGTTATTAAGCACCTCGAATTACTGATTTTATTATAATAGATTTAAAGAACGTACATAACATAAAATATACTCTTATATACACCTATTTATTCGGAATAATGCTGTAAAAACATTTAAACAGCCAACATGAACTCTACTTTGATAGTATTAACTGGATCATCATTTAGGAAGACCATTTAAATGCTTGTATATTTGTCTTTACCATTTGTTTACTACCTCGTGGATGTACGCATTCATGATTCCCATTAGTATCTAATTCAAGTAGATCATTACTTCTGATATTATTCATATCAACACTCTGATCCAGATAATGTTTGTAATTTACTTTTAACTCTGTTCATAAGTTTGAAAGAAATAAGATAATTTGTAGTGAAGTGGAACTGTATTTATGATTACATTACATGTTTAAAATTAACTGATTTAATTCATATACAGCTTTTGAAGAACAGGGGTGATAGATTCCTGGTTTATTCCTTTTTTAAATTATGCAAACCCTTATTCTATTGATGTGAACTTGAAAGTATAAGATCCCCTTAATTGTATGTATCCTTGATTGCGGTATCGATTATATGAAACAATGGAATTTGCTTTCCTGTATCATGATTGTTATTATTTATTTGGATAATTTTATTAGCCCTAAATATTTACAATTTTTTATTCATTGATATCCAGACAAGTTATTTATGATTTCTAACGCTCAGTCTCATTGTTTACATAGATAACACAATTTAATCTCTTGTTCTTTTGTAATTCATACCGATTAAACAATTGTACGTTACTGAAGCCTAGAAAAATAATATGTCTTCATTTGTTATAATTATCCAATAATTCCCCAGTTTATCACTGACCTATAAAATCTTAGCTGATCAACTTTTCCTGTATTCATCATCTGATTTCAGTCAATTACAAAGTTTATTTTCAATTATTTATGAAAAATAATGTAGGTCAAAGCAGTTACTCTAATACAACTATTGGTTATCGGTTCAAGGATCAGTGTAAACAAATATAGTTCTTAATTTATTCTTATATTGAAACTTAGCTCAATATCGGAAAAATATCATATATCATTTGTGGATTTGTTTGTATTTATGACTACTGCTAATTACGTGTGATCTTTCATGTGGTTCCTCTTTTTTAGTTGTTATGTCTACTACATTCAACCAACCATGGATGTGTATTTGTATGTATACGGTGATTGATTTTTTTCCTTTTCAAGAACAAACTGTGGACGGAAATGACTTTATATGAATTTGTTTGTTCAACCACTTTATTTGAATTTCACATAAAATTTAGTGGTAATAAAGTTAAAACCTGTGTAGTTATATTCCTGCAGTTTTTGTAAAACGATTATGAAATAAGGGAAGTGAATGTATGTATAAATCTTGTGATCCAATCATTTTGTTAAAACACAAATCAATGAAACTGTTTAAAAATAAAACAACCGTAATAAATTGACACATGCACATATGAAGTTATTTCAGCTGATATTTAGTTCATTATAATTAACCACCTGAGATCAATGTCATGAATCCAACCTAAAAATTCATATCAATCTCCACAATACCACTTCTACTAAAGTGTAATACTCAGATAACCAGTGAATTACTTCAACAAGTTATTGAAGTTCTAGTGAGAAGTAAGGATTGGTAGAGTTCAGATACGTCGATAGTCAAGAAGTTGTCATCAGTGTCACTGGATGACCATCGTATTCTATCACGAATTGGTTGGAATTGAGATTTCGGTATTGAATTCTGACTTAGTGGCTCTACTGGTTAAGCATTCATTAAGAGAGTTGAATCTCCTGAATGCGACTTGTGGTGGAGATGTAAATGTTCATTGTCAATTAGTCGCGTACCAGAACGAAGCAACTGTTCAATGGTTCATGGCTTCCAATGAAAATTTAGCAGAGATCAACTTGTGAACTACGCAGCCAATAAATTTAAGCCAATCCACACAAATTTTCCCTCAATTTGTTTATGAATTCAAGGTAGATTGAATCACAAATACAATCTTAATGTTCGATTTTCCCACAGATCGAATTCGAATAAAAGAAGACTACTGAATGAACGTGTTACTGTGTAAAAAGTGACGGGATATTTCTTCTATAGAGCCTATTTACATTTGAAAGTACTAGTTTTAACACTATCTCATTTTACTGTAGTCAACTCTAAATATTTACCAAATTCTGATTATGAATAATAAGCGATTATTAACCTGTTTTATATTTTGTCACGTAGAATAAATATAGATGAATTCAGAAATCAGATCCTTAATTCCTTCATTACATGTTTAAGAAAAAAGATTACACGTTATTTATATGAAGTTTGTATACTGATTTACAATCATAATGAAGTAGTATTGGGTCTACTTTTCCTCTTGGATTTACACATTAATGGAAAATACTTACAGTCTTTAAAGAATTCAATTAGACGTTAATATTAACCCCAATATCAATAATTAGTGTAGTTCACTACTTTATCACCAAGCCAATATAACCACAACCGACCTTCCATCGTGTATAAATTTCTACTTAAGACTTATTCAAAAGGAAGTTAATTACTAAATTTAATCGCAGTGAAGTGATGTGGAAGTTTCCAGGAGTAATATATATCAAGTTATATTGAAGAATCGAATAATACTCAATTAGGAATTGATCGTTTTCATTGCCTGTTAATATAAGATTGAGGTTTTATCCAATAACCGACAAAAGTACACCGAGCTGACATTAGATATCAACGCAAAGGCCTTTTATTTAAAAATAAATTACCCAAAGCCGGAACTTCATTGTGAAGTAGAAAAATAAGTTTAGCGGCAACCATGCCACATAAGAAATTGATGCTAGCTTGCCATTAGGGGAAGCATACATACACATTGACAATCTAAATCTTATGTTAACATTTGACTTGTGAAGAGTAATGAAAGTGTGACTTACGAGTTAATAAATGTTATATGAATACTCATGGACAGTAACACGACATTGTACTAATAGATTCATAATTACAACTATAAATGAAAATAAGCGGAAGTTATCGATTATTGTAAAGATTCACAACATAATACACTAAGAATAAGTTGGGTTTGTTACTGGACATGTATTGCGGTGCCGTCGATTTAATGGGTAGGATAATTTAGTAAAACTAGCTAATTGTACAAACCAACAATAAACATTGGTGATCTCCTCTGTTCGTTTTAAATGTTTTTTATTTGTTGAGTTTATTTTATTAACCACTCAGACTGCTAAGATGAAGCTTATCAATAGTCTATTCAAATTTATCAAAATGGTAGTTTAATTCATCATTAAAACTTTTTAAACGATATGACCTTATGGGTGTAATGCACACTTTTCAAATATAAATAGATATCACTTAATCGTCTATGCCAAAGAACATCAACACGCATGGTGAAACTAGTTATTTATTTTTTCACTTAAGACAGTCAATGAAAAAAGTCATACACTAAACAGCGTCATGTTATACACTATCCAAATTCTTCGGCAATACAGAAGCAAAGACTTTCCCTTAGGTGAATAATCCAGTATTTTGTGTGCTACAGGTAGAGTATTAAGCTGAACTGAAAGTGGTTTGCCCACAACTTTCTTCAATGCAAACGATCTGTACGAAGTTTAGGTCAACGTAATATAAACAGTCAACTCACTTGACCAAACAGCTTACTTGCTAAATCTTCAATGTGCCCTTTAATACTTACTAGATGAAAGTCTCCTTGATTGAATGGCCGCTAATTTCATGAGAACCATATAACATAATTGAATTAATTGTGAGAAACAAGTAGTAGTTAGTATAATCCAGGTGTATTTACAGATAAAAATTAAAATAAATAATCACCTGTTTATGTAACTTAGTAGTGAGAAAATTAAACAATACAATCAAATATTGCTAAAATGCATAAACAATATACACAGAATAAAAATAGCAGTTGAACACAGAGAAACAAGAAAATCTAAAAATATAACATAATTAGAATATCACTTATTGGACCACAACAAAAAACAGTAAGCAATGCGAAATTCCATACTAATAATGAGCATTACATACAAAACAGGAATAACATTAGTTATTGATTCGGATCAAAGCCCATTGTGCTTAGATTTCTTAAACAACACATTTGTGCACAACCGCTGAACCAAAAACCGATATAATATATGAATAAATCTGACAAAAGAGGCAGAACGGTCAACAAATCGGAAGATAAACAGGAAAAAACTTCCAAGCTCACTAAAAAACACATAATTGGCAAAAACACTGTTGCTTTGGAGGATAGATGAAAAAAGAAACTATTTAAAGTTAGCAAACGTAAGCTGAAAATAATTTATGTATATTCATATTAAACTAAACATTCATTTTCACAAGTACAGAAAAATATCTTGTTTCGAAAATATAAAGCTATGAACCGGAGCCGAAAGAATTCTCCCCACTGTAGCTTATGTATAGAAAACCATCATCATCGTGAAAGTTATGATACAGTTGACCTATTGTAGCACTAAAATGATTAAAATAAGTGGAAATCACTGTATAATTCAGAGAATAGTCTGAAAAATTAGAAACGCATCGTAGAAATTCTTTTATATAATATAGTGAATAAGCATTTCACATTTCGATTCACATTAATAAGATGGAGAACAAAGCATCACAAAATATAACAGAAGAAAAATTTATTCTGCCTCTCGTCAAAGCGTTCCAATTTTATTCAACAAAATATAACGTAGATATTTATTAAGCTGTGAGGTTCATAATTAAAAGCTTGAGGTTAAAGTATGTAGGTAACTAACTCATTAGAATTATAGACAATGAGATGAAGCCACACAAATATTTGGGTGTTCAGATTACATGAAATATCTACTTATGGATATAAGGAAACGAATCTTAACATCTAAACTATATCGGTTATATCTTGTTTTAAAACAAGTAATGACGAGCACTGAAACCTACTGTATTAACAGAAATAACATCTGTAAACTGTAATATGTAAAATACTTTATTTATTAATAGTATACGTAGAGATTTCTTTAGAGTTTTAAATTCCCTAAGTATTACAACAATTTGGGTCACGAGCACCTAATGAGGGAAGAAACTATCCCAGCAATTCTAGACAAAATTTTTAATTTGTTGCCATTTTCCTAGTTCCATGTAACTTGCCTGAAAGCGATATCCAGAATAAGTTCGACTTACATATTCTAGTAGAGATTCAAATATTCTGAATTTATCAATTGTATCTTAAGCCCTAATCTACATGCAATCGTGTCTGAGCTCTTTTTTATCCTCTGTTGAACATTTTTTATGACTTTTGATTGTTCTGTTGCACCTACTCGCATTTCCCTTATTTAACTAGTGGTGTTATCTCTCGGCTTGTAGGACATTTCACATTGTGCATACGGTGGAATCAGTGTCAAAATAATTTATATTAACATCTATTTATTCGTTAGTGTTACTAATGAAAATTGAAACAGTAGTTGTATCTGAAAATCATTGTTATAAGGAAAAGACTGACTTAACTACATGAGAATTGTTACAGTTAGGAAGTATGTTATGCATGAGTAGGGTAGACAGATTAGAATAAAGCTGCATGTTAGCAGATCAAGAGATGGTATTACTTGATCATTGGTCCGAAGCATGTTGGTGTAGGAGCAAACTTCCTGATTGGGGGCTGCTCAGCAATCGTAATTTAATGGTTAGAAAAGTTGGGTGACACGACAAAATTGATATTAGTTGCATTCATTCTTTATTACTGGGCTGAATGGTGAGTTAAGTGTCAATCTTAAATTTTCACGATTTAATCTCATTTGTTCCTTCAAAATTGTACTTTCGTACGTAGATTTCCATTGTGATGGAAATTAGTTCTTCATATTTGCTTCTTTTGATGTTATCTCTCCCTGTACTGACATAGAGTATAGAAACTTACCGATAAACATTATTCCTAAGGTCCTACTTTGACAATGAATTACGGACTGATTCTGAATTATAGCTTTTTGTTTAGCGCTGATATGAGCCCGAATGAACTTATGTAGTTTGAATAAACAGAATATACTTTAGCTTTTTGACCGGTGTTAGTTTGTGAATTTTTTTACCTAAATGCAGTAACACTTCTCCCTTGAGTATGTTACTATTTGAACAAGTGTTTGTATTTTATGTCAAATGGTACCACTGTTGTCCAAACTGAAAGTAAGGCATTAAAGATGCAAGATAAATTACGGATTATTCATAGGAATTTTAAATGTCCATCAGACCAACAATCACTGTGTATATCAAGTCGAAAACATCTGATTAAAATATCTTATGTAAGGAAGAACTTTAAAAAGTGAATCGACCCGTAAATCGATTAATATACCTTGTTTGCGGCATATTCTTCTCAACAAAAAGAAAGAGGGCTTTTTCTGATGAGATATCAATACGTTTTCGAATGATCCACATAAACTGAGCAACTGTAACATCGTCCGGAACAAGAAACTTATGTTTGTCAATATCGGGTATTTGTGAATGACGATGACGTTCCACGACGACCTGTAAAAAAGATTGAAAACGAGTTCAAAAATGACAAGTATTTGCTCTAACTGGCGAAATAATTTTGTACAAAAAAAAGTTAAGACTCGTAAGGATCGGTCGTGCACAGACCAAATTGCAACACTACGGATCATCGTCGAACAATCAGTTGAGTGGAACTCGTCACTATACATCTACTTCATTGATTATGAAAAGGCATTTGACAGTGTAGATAAGAGAACGTTATGGAAACGTCTTCGACACTATGGAGTTCCTCAGAAGATTGTCAACATTATCCGGAACCCATACGACGGACTTCAGTGCAAAGTAGTGCATGGAGGACAGCTGACAGATGCATTCCAAGTAAGGACCGGAGTCAGACAAGGCTGTTTACTTTCTCCCTTCCTCTTTCTTCAGGTGGTCGACTGGATTATGAAGACCTCAACATCTGAGGGAAAACACGGCATACAATGGACAGCTCAGAACCAATTCGACGATTTGGACTTCGTAGATGACCTAGCCCTCCTATCGCATACACACGAACAAACGCAGATAAAAACAGCCAGTGTAGCACCAGTCTCTGCATCAGTAGTTCTCAACATACACGAGGGGAGATCCAAGGTCCTGAAATACAATACGGAGGACGCCAATCCAATCACTCTTGATGGCGAAACTCTGGAAGATGTAGAGTCCTTTACATACCTGGGAAGCATCATCGATGAACAAGGAGGTTCAGATGCGGACGTAAAGGCGAGAGTTGGCAAAGCAAGGACCGCATTCCTACAATTGAAGAACATATGGAACTCAAAACAACTTTCAACCAATATCAAAGTGAGAATCTTCAATACGAACGTCAAGGCAGTTCTACTGTATGGAGCTGAAACTTGGAGAACTACAACAACCACAATCAAGAAAGTACAAGTATCTATAAATGATTGTCTACGCAAGATACTCAAAATCCATTGGCCGGATACCATCAGCAACAGCCTTCTCTGGGAGAGAACAAACCGGCTTCCAGCTGAAGAAGAAATTAGGAAAATACGATGGAAATGGATAAGACATACATTACGCAAATCATCAAACTGCATCACGAGGCAAGCCCTAACTTGGAATCCTGTAATGAAGCGGAAAAGAGGAAGGCCAAAGAAGACATTACGTCGGGAAATCGAAGCAGATATGAAAAGGATGAATAAAAACTGGAGGGAGCTGGAAAGGATTTCTCAAAACAGGGTTGGATGGAGAATGCTGGTGAGTGGCATATGCTCCTTCACGAAGAGTAACAGGAGTAAGTAAAGTTAAAACTCAATACAGCCTTGATGTGTACTCCGTAACGCATTCTAAAAGAATCCGATAAAAGGCATTCTTTTACGTTAGTGATAAACATATACATCCTAATGAAGTCAATTGCGGATAGAATTCTAAGCTGAACTTTAAAATGACATGATAAAAAGATGGTTGTAAAAATATGTGATGATGAATAGTGACTTAGCTGCGTAAACCTCGAAAGATGTAAAGTACTAAAGATTTGACCACTTTTAAAACTACGTCACTTCAGGTTTCAAACATTTGAAAAATAACGGGGAGATATGTGGTCCGGGATGTTAAGAGTATGAACTATGAATCATGGTTAATTGTCACGTCTTACTAGGTCACTTCAGACCTCAACATGATTACATTGTCTATGTGCGTTATATAACAAGGTAGAGTGAAATTAGATAGAGAACCTATGACCCCTAAATGCCCTGACACGGTTGAGGGCGTGGAGAGCCAGCACACCCGAAATTCCCTCACATGGCTACGCGTGTACAACCACTGCCAGGAAAGTCCTACTCACTGCCTTCTCACAACATTACAGTTGTTTACGAAATTGGATTAGACCCTTAGGTCGAAGGCTTCGGGCGTGGCTCCCTAAGAAATCCAACTACTTAGGTTTGGGAACCCAGGTAGTATTTCAGCTCCCACACAAGTCGAATGGTGAAGTGTGGCGCATAGGTATCTGGTCACTCCTTGAACCGATGTTTATATTTAAATAAATAAACAACACTATAAATATACAGAAATGCAGTGGTTGGGTGTGATAAAGCTAATAGACTTGTGCATCACGTATTTGCAATTTACTGGTCAAACATATGGACAGAATAAGTGAACCTATTGGAATATATATATATATATATATATATATATATATATATATATATATATATATATATAGACCAAACCACCGAGATCAAATTTTAGAGTACGGCAACAACTCAACAGTGCACAGATGTAGAGATACTACTTAGAAGAGCCAAGATTCACTGCCTTTATATATGTATATAAACGTTTCAGAAATTATCATACGAATATTAGTGCCATTCGAAGTCAGTGTTTCCCACAAGCCAATAACCATAAGTTCATTAGATCTTATGCAGACCGGTAGACGCAACAGGAGCAACATGGAGCACTGTCTACAAAACAAATTGTATCAAACCCAAAGTATTATATTGGGGAGAATGTCTTGTGCACTTAAACAACAACACAGGTCGAATGCAAGGCTAAGTTACCTAGTTTTTTTAAAGAACTCATATTGTTTTGAATAATATCTATGTCCAATCTTGTCCAGTACTTGTGATGCAATCCCTACTTCATCTCGCGATAGCGAAAGCTTTGCAGATAAATCTTTCAGGCCAAAGAACTCACTATTACCGAAGATTTGTGTTGATTTCGCAAGCTATTCAAGAGCATAATTCAACAGAAATACAGAAAATTCTGTTTTAACTAAGCTTTCGACAAATATTATCCATTGTAAATCAGTAACCTAAAATGAAGTTTTTAGTCCTCCTTTGATGTGATAGTTGAGGTCTAATAGTTCAGCTGAATGAGACCCTAGTCAAGAGATAGAGGTGATTAGTTGTGTTGGCATGCTATGGGTATTAGGTTCTTTCAGTTTGCTAAGAATATTATTTGGGACGAATCGGCGAATGGGGATGTTAGAACTGGCTGGACAGTGTGTGGCGTAACCCGGAAACACGAAATACTAGTTATAGGTCAGTGGGAATTAGTTAAACACATATGGTTAACCGCTATTTCTAAAGATCACTGGCGTTGACCAATAGGCTTCGAAAAAGTTAAATGTCCGGATGTTTGACTTCTGACATCAACTTTTAGACAATGAATAATGGAAAACTGGACGTAAGAGTTATTCTATACCCATAAACAACTTTAGTCTAAAAGTGAAACAGAAAAATTCAGACACGCGGAGTGAGAGCATGACTAACTTTTCCGTACTTCAGTATTTGAAAAACTGGAGCTTGGAACTATAAAGCAACAAAAAGCCAAGTAAACAAATGTGATGTTAAGTACTGATAAAAGTCTGATAGAATCATTATTTTTGAAAAATAAAACTTAATCATTCAGAGTTAATATTACTCAATTATTACATTGCGCAGAACTTACCGGAACTCTATTAGGGTACTTGGCCTTTATCTTTGAGGAGTCCTGTTGTCTTTGCTCTGTGAAGAAATAGAAGAATTAAAACCAACAAACCAAAGGTATGGGTCTCCTTGAACTTGAAATTCATGACTTCTTAATGAACTTTGAGTAGCCCGCTACAAATATGGTGGGGAAATTGTTTTTAGTTCTAGTGTAGCTCAACGCATTATCACTGAAAACAAACAATAATCTCAACCAGCCATAATAAAAAATTTGTTTTTTTTGCTCTCGAAGTTAGGTGTAAAGAACAGGTCTCAGGTTTTTATAGTACTTCCTGTGGATGGTAAGGCAACTATTATAATTACTTGGAGATTGTTGTATTACAGGAGTAGATAAGTAGTTTTCCATGAGTTGAGTTGTATCCGAGACCAGAAACTATCACACCTCGCAACCGTCGTTTGATTGACTGCATTCAGAGTTGTGAAGTGAGAATTTAGAAATAATTTGTAGCGGGTCAATATGTCTTCTTTTAGTTTCCATTTCAAGATTGTGTTAATCCGACGCATGTGTCACTGCTGACTGGTGTCTACTGCTTTCCGTAGTACACATTAGTGCGTTGTGTGCATACAAGGTGGCCAACTCGCCTTTTCTTTTGTGACTTATTTTTCCTAACTTCCTTCATAGTTCACAGCACGCTACTTTGCATAAATAAAGTACCTTCGGGCTAGAAGCGTACCGCTACAAAAGCGCGGTGGGAAGAAAATAGGAGAGTAATAGTTCTCACTCAATTAGCGTTTGCGAATAGGTGACATTAATAATAAGTGATACAAGATACAACAACAGACTAAAAACAAGACACAAGATACGGGTAGACATTGTGGGAATAAGGAGAATGAATTTTAAGAAACCTTCCTATATACAGGTATTTGGCCGCTATTCTGTACGAAAGTAGGTAATCTGTAAATGCCTCTTACCGAAATAATCTATGATGTTTGATAATGATTGAACCAGCAGCCCTCAAGAGCAAAACGACTCTCAACTCCAGTGACAGTTGATGGTCTACGCAGTATCCAACTAACTTCCGGGCTATTAATGAAAATACCAAAATCCATGCGCTCAAGGAAGTCAACAGGATGTGGCAGAATTCTATCCGTAATCATATAACAGTGCTCACTTTACTCGACACTAATGTTAATCAGTGCTCTATTTGTACGTGATAAAATGACTCACAAGCACACCCTGTTACTTTTAAACAATCATTCACTTGTTTTGATAGTGTACAGCTGGTTGTGCTCCAGTGCCACAGACTCATACATTCAAATATACTCTTACGAACTCTTTCGCTGTGATCAACTTGCACAACATTAAGTGAGTCATTGACAGAGCCGCCTGCCTTGATTTCGCCTGCGAAATTGATTGCAGTGATCGCAACGTTTCCAGGATCAACTGAAAGACACACATTCAGGTCCACTGGGCTTAGAAAGCATACATGGTCCTATAGACATACACAGTTGAAAGTAACATATACTCCTACCTACACGAAACCATAACGTTGTCAACTTGACATTCTGTCACAATGTCACATAAGCATCAATGGTGGTTGGCGAAACTTTTTACACTAGCGGTCATAATGTAGTCTTCTGCACTCTACCCTTTCTCGCAAAAGGTTACAAATCCAATACAATAAATACACGTCTTCAATACAGCGAATTTGAACACTCTGACTGGGAAAACTTTCGATTTCTAATATTCACTCTGACTGGACTAGTTTTTTTACTGGTTATAAGCCATTATTGCCGCTAAATCCACACTAGACACTACTGTCCTCTCCAAAATATATTTTGAAACAATAACTCTTTCAATCAGACAAACAACTAGGGCTAAGTTATGAAAGCTATAAAGAATGTAATGTATATCAAAAAGCTTCAGTGTGTTGCGATAGATATACCCTAAACTTGATGGAGTGTAAAGTCAGCATAGGAAACCTTAGCAAACAGAGGAAATTGCTGCGCTCACTACAGCATCGAAATCTCAAAACCTAACTTGTCTCTTTGGAAAGCGCATAAGAAAGAGTGTGGATCACAAAATCCATTCCAGGCAGTACGGTGGTGTGACGTATTACTGCAAAACTGTCATATAAAAACTGTTATGTTAATATTTTTGCACAATGGAAATAAATCTAATGCCCCATACATTAACGTAAAGCACATCAGCAAAAATAATCTTAGTACCAATGACGCTGATCTTAGTGATACATACGCCACCATCAAAACACTCAAGCAGAATACATGTCCTAGTGCAGATGGCATCCCATCGATTCCTTAGAAGATAACAGGATCGGACATTAGAATACCAATAATCGAAATATTCATATTATCCCCAAAGGCATAACACAAAACCTAGGAGGTAACACTTATATCACGCATAATGAAAACGTGATACAAGATCAATTATCTGATCACCCACTTAGGGAAGGTCTATTCGACCCGTCGCATCATGGCTTCATTGGAACAGGGTCCTGCAGTACATACCTGATAGTCTTCTTTAGCGAAGTCACTCACATACAAGACCAAAAGAACCTAATGATAATACTATATTTCGATATCAAGGAAGCTTTTGATAAGGCACCTCACAAACTCCTAATAATCAAAATTCAGTCAGTTGCAATCGTTAACCCCCTATTGCAGTGGAATAAGTCTTTACACACAAATAGATGCCAGGGAACTAAAATTAAATCTACAACATCTGCATCTTGACCAAATAACCAATGGTGTCGCGTTGGGTATTTTTTTGTCTTTATTGCTTTTTACACTCCAAATCAACAATATATGCTGGTGTTTCAACACATATAAGACCTACCATGAGCTGATGACTTAAAAGTCATTTATAAAACTAGCATTTGCGATGAACGTAGTACTATGCAAACAATATAGCCTGAACTCGACAGGACAGGTAACTGAAGTAAACGTCGTAGCTTAGAACTCCACGCAAAGAAATGCTGCTGGCTACGTATTGGAGATGTCTGTTAAAATAAGACTAAAACTCAACAATAATCTACTACCAAAACTCAAATCATCAACAGGCAATAGGGTGAATTACTTTCTTAACTTCTCTGAACATATGTCTGCTAAAGTATCTGAATCGCGGAAATTTCCAGGCTTCATTCTTCGTAACTTCATTCAAAATGAATAAGACTATCAGAAGTGCTCCATTCTGCCTTACTAAAGGAAGCGGCTTCAATCTTAGCAACCACTTACTGTGATGTTCTCACATTCGCCGAACCGAGGCATGATCCTGAAAACGTGCAAGCTAGCGTACATTACACCAACTTTGAAAAAAAGATTGGGACAGTGATTTTTCAAGCCTTCTCTCTATACCCTCAAAAAATATGAAGTCCACGATATGCGACGGTTTACACGACTACTTAATATCCATGTTATTTTTCACCCAAACGGTTTCGTTTGGGGAATCGTCACTCTTATATAACCAACTCTTTGACCTCCGTAGACAGGTGGACACTTATCCTTGATCATAGGGAGAAGGTTGACGTCAAATACACTGACTACTCAAAAACCTTTGGTAGGGTCAATCATATACGTATTATAAATCAGCTCAAACGGAGAAGTGTCAAGCCACCGTTAATTGATTGGTTCACTTCATATCTAAGTAATCGAACTTTTAAGGTCAAGGATAATTTCATTTTTCCCCAAACATATGTATGGCATTATACACTTCCTAATGCCCATACTTTGACTGGCAACCCACACTTTATACTATAGCTATTTAAAGCATTCTATCCATGTCTTACACACAGTCTATGATTTGTAACCGCCTGTTAAGCTTGTAAAGTGGTACTTATAGAAAAAGTGATTCCCCAAAGTGCGTGATACACAGAGCATCGTGCGAGGTATAATATTTATCCAAAAAAAGCCTAAATGGGCCTAAAATCATAAAAAGAGGAAGGATGGAGTTACTGACCAGCAAACGAGCCACTCGTGTTTGTGGGGCGGAATATTTTGTTTGCATCAGGTCCATTACGATTGGGGACGAGGCTATCAATTAGTGGTACTGGGTTTGTTCTCTTACGCTCACTACTCAGACTCATGCTTCCAATCTTATGCCGGATTAGCTATTTTATTAAAACAACCTATAACATGCTGTTGCGGTAAATAAATCCTCAAAATAAATAGCTCTGCAAGGTTTCGACATTGGATGCTGACCAGATTAGTTTTAGTGGACTCACCTAGCTGAAGGCGCTCGGTCATGCACCCGCACCAGATCACGTGTGGGAACGCCGTGCTCAACATCTACTGCAATCACTAGCCATACTAAATCAGACAATTCCGATATATTGGCAATCGTCAAATACAACTTCTGATCTCCTCGATTCTGTCTTTTGATTTCTCTTGGTGAGTACGATTTATATTAGAAGGTGCCAGCTTGGAAGTTTCCCGGGTTGTTTTTCGAGTCAGTCGGTTTTAATTTGGGAAAATTGCAGTGTTGTCTGTAATTTCTGGAAGACGTGGCCAGACAGAAGTCTAAAGCCAACGAGTTTTGTTGTTGGTAATACTCTTCTGATAGCTTGCTAGGTTTAGCATCGTCTGGCCGTCTTTCCTTACTATATAGGACCATGAAGTACAGTATAGTAAAAAAAAGTACAATGAAAATCTCGGCTCCTCGTAAACTTCATCGTTCTTTTCCAGCCGTCCTTCAAAAGAAAGAAGAAAAAGTAAGTGCATTTCGAAATACACACGTACGCGCGTAAAAACACAATGCCGGCGAAAAAAAGTCGAAAATAACTCATATGGACGTAATATCGTTAAGAAAGGATTTTTACAATGTTTTTTTGTTTTTTTCTAAAATAAACATATAAATATATATGGATATTAAAATTGTTTTTTTTAAAATTATTACATATGGTTAAAAGAAAAATCGAGATAATATAAAATGTCGAGGAGTGCCTTACGTGCAATAATCGTTTAGATGTTCTGGAAATCTTACTCTCCTTCCTGAACGCGTCGGCTTAAGTTTATTTTCTGATTCTATTGAAGTATCATCGTGTGTGTTGCCTGTCGGTTGGGGTATTATAAGCGTAGGAGTCGTGTTGTGCGATTGTAAGGGAAATCGACGTGAATAGGATTTCCTTTTAAATACACTACTTTGAGGCGATCGATGCTGATGCTATAATTTATTCCGTTCTGATCGACTATTTAGTGCTTAGAATCACGATTTAGAACTTTGAAAGGTCCTTCGTATGCTAATTCGAAAGGTAGTCGATGTGAGTCTCGACGAACGAAAACGTGTGTACTATATCGTAAGTCAGGTTGAACGAAAACATCAGTTGATTGAGGTCGAGTGGAAGCAGGTTTAACTGAACGCATTGCGTTTGTAAGCCTGTTCGTGTAGGAGGTTAGATCCATGTTCATCGAAGAGCACGAAGGATCCACGAATTCTCCTGGAAGTCGAAGTGTCGTTCCATAAACGAGTTGAGCCGCAGTGTATCCAATGTCAGCTTTCACTGCATTGCGGATACCTAGTAAGACGAGTGGAAGAGCGTCGGTCCATTGTGAAACGTTTGCAGCTGATAGCGAAGCTTTCAGTTGTCGGTGAAAACGTTCTACCAACCCGTTTGCTTGTGGGTGGTAGGCGGTCGTTCGGAAGCGAGTGATTCCTAAAAGTGTGGTCAGACGACGGAAAAGATCAGATTCAAACTGACGTCCGCGGTCTGTAGTGATGGTTGAAGGGCAACCGAAGTTTGCTACCCATCGTTCGACGAATGTGCGGGCCACTGTTTCAGCAGTGATGTCCTTGATAGGTACTGCTTCTGGCCATCGAGTGAAACGGTCTACGCAGGTTAAGAGATAAGAGTATCCATTTGAATCTGGTAAAGGTCCTACCAAATCCAGATGAACATGGTCGAAACGAGCATCGGGAGTTTTAAACGAGCCTAAGGGACATTTATTGTGTCTGATAACCTTAGATTTTTGGCAGCTTACACAGGAGCGTGCCCACTCCCTCACGTCTTTATTCATGCCAGGCCAGCAAAATCGTTCTGCTATAAGCTTGATGGTTGCACGAACACCTGGATGAGAAAGTTTGTGCAATGTGTTGAAGACATTGCGTCGATAATGTTTCGGCACGATTGGGCGATCCCTACCTGTAGATGTGTCACAAAGTAAGGTTTCCTTACCTGTTCCCATCTGTTTGATGCGTAGTTTAAGTGTTGTGGACGATAACTCGTGCTGAAGATCACTGTCTTCTTTTTGAAGCTCGGCGAGTTTAAGAAGGTCGATTCCTTGGAAACTGTTCAAGGAAGTTATGCGAGATAAAGCGTCTGCAACTACATTGTTTGCTCCAGAGATGTGTTGAATATCTGAAGTAAACTGCGAAATGTAGTCCAGTTGTCGAGACTCACGGGGAGAGTACTTGTCAGAAGGAGAGCTTAACGAGAAAGTGAGCGGTTTATGGTCCGTGAAAAGAGTGAATTCACGGCCTTCGATATAGTGTTGGAAATGCCGTACAGCACAATACATAGCTAGGAGTTCCCTACCGAATGTGCTGTACCTCGATTCGGTGTCTAGCAACCTTCTAGAGAAAAATGCCAAGGGTTGCCAGGAGTTGTTAACCCATTGTTGTAAGACTCCTCCGATTGCTGAGTCGGATGCGTCTACTGCGATGCTAATGGGTGCTCGGGTGTCCTGATGTGCGAGCATTGTTGCTTTAGCGATCAGTTCCTTAACTGTGGAGAATGCTTTTCGTGCGGTGTCGTCCAAATTAATGGATTTCGCATTTCCACGAAGTTGGTCGGTCAGAGGTTTCATAAGTAATGCGCATTCGGTATGAAACGTCTATAGAAACTTACCAGGCCGTTGAACGTGCGTAATTGCTTGACGGTGGTCGGTTCTGGGTAATCCAGAATGGCCGCCACTTTGGTTCTAAGGGGTCGGATACCTTGAGCATCGATAGTGTGTCCCAGAAAGTCTAACGAGTCGGTTCCAAATTGGCATTTCTGAACGTTTACAGTTATGCCATGTTTTTGTAATCGTTCGAAAACAAGATCCAGATGCTTGAGATGTGTTTCTCTGTCCGGACTTGCGATTAGACAGTCGTCAACATACGCGTGTACGAAGTTGAGACCTCGAAAAACGTCGTCTATGAATCTTTGGAATGTTTGAGCAGCATTCCTTAGACCGAAAGGCATTCGCAAAAATTCATAGAGTCCGAAGGGAGTTATGATAGCGTTTTCGGTATGTCGTCAGTAGCCATAGGGATTTGGTTATACGCTTTAACCAAGTCGATTTTCGAAAAGACAGTTGTACCTTTCAAGGTAGCTGTCAAATCGTGAATGTGAGGCAACGGGTAACGATCGGGAATGGTTTTCGCGTTCAATCGCCGATAGTCACCAGTTGGACGCCAATCGTTGCTGTCCTTTTTAGGGACCATGTGCAACGGAGATGCATATGGGCTACTTGACGGTCGTATGATTCCTAAGTCTATCATATGGTCGAACTCGTTTTTCGCCAACCTTAGCTTTTCAGGAGCTCGTCATCGTGCTTTAGGGAATACAGGTGGTCCTGTAGTCGTGATGTGATGTGTAACGTTGCTGGTTACACACGGTAGTTCCGGTCGCGTTTTATGTATCCTAGGATACTTATCGAGTAGTGGTTGATAAAGTGAGTTTATCGTATGCTTAATTGTGACTAGAGATAATCGGCAACCAGAAAAGGAAGTTACGCAAACGGATAAATTAGTGTCTCCGTCTACTAGCCTCCGTTTGCGCGTACCGATGATTAGATTATGGTGTTGTAGAAGGTCTATACCGGTTTTGAGTCGGGAAAATTGCAATGTTGTTTGCAATTTCTGGATGACTTTCCATACTGGGTATGATACCAGCACCAGTCGGGTTATCCGTCTCTCGTGGTCTGGAGACTGATAGCTTACGTGAAGTGCTTCTACGTGGGGTGTGTGATCGCTTACGGTCGTTACGAAAATGAAGATAACGTGTAAGTGTATGACATAACTCTATAATGTCATGCTGGGTCGTTTGAGGCCTTTCTTTGACTGAAAAAACCTCGGTAGTAGATTTTGTGATTTCTAAAATGCGGTCAGCAGATGCAGCTGGCTCGTCTAAGGCGTTGTTGTGGAACGAGACAAGCACAGCTTGCACCTGTTAAGGAAGTTTCGACAAGAAATGTTGTTTAAATAGGCTATCATCGAAAGTTCGTTGGCCGACAACTCCTTTCATCCGTTGCAACATGTCCGTCGCAGAACCGTCTGCAGTTCGATGTTATAACGGGGTTGGTTTAAACTTTGTCTATCGGTTAGGTCTCCGCGTTTAAGAATAGAACGTTTCAGCGTTTCGTAGGGTTCAGAAACATCACTAGTAAACATACTAGGTGTTACGTACCTGTTGAACTCGCGCGGTAGTCCCTTGACTACTGCGAGGAATTGTGCATGTGTGCCGATCACGCCGTGCTCGGAAACGTCGGCTTCTGCGTAGCAGAACCAGGCTTCGATGTTGTCTGGCCAGAAGGGCATCACTTGGAACGAAGGTGGGGACAAAGTCTTAAACTTAAGTCTTTTGGATGTCTGTTCAGTCTTGATGAAGTATAAAGTACGATAATGAACGAGGGGAAAAATATATATGCAAAAACGCGGGGGAAAAATATCACAATGTATAAAAAATTAAGATAAGGCAATGACATATATTATCTCAAATAGGAACAGACTCGCAATTTACGATTTGGTGTACCAGATCACGTCGGGCTCACTAATGATGATGAAACAGGTATTCAGTATTTGAAAACGTTTTTATCAGTGGCACCTAATATAACTCGTACTCACCAAGAGAAATCAAAAGACAGAATCGAGGAGATCAGAAGTTGTATTTGACGATTGCCAATATATCAGAATTGTCTGATTTAGTATGGCTAGTGATTGCAGTAGATGTTGAGCACGGCGTTCCCACACGTGATCTGGTGCGGGTGCATGACCGAGCGCCTTCAGCTAGGTGAGTCCACTAAAACTAATCTGGTCAGCATTCAATGTCGAAACCTTGCAGAGCTATTTATTTTGAGGATTGATTAACCGCTACAGGATTACCAATTAATCAAACCAGTCGGTTAATACAAACTCGTGAGAGAGATATTGGATAGTGGATAGCTCACATTTCACTAGCGCAAAGTCTAAGTATTCTTAAATTCAAGGACGCAGGTGACTGACACGCTCGAAACTAGGAGACAATATTGTTTTAATCTCACTTTCGTGTTATTAGTGATTGTTGTCATTTGCCTTCGTTTTTAATGTAAATCCATTTTATGTGATTTTTTCCTCTTGTTCTCTTCCAGATAATCTAACTGCTGCTAACATTCCCCCAACACACAAGGTATCTTCAGGTTAGACGCAAACCTACCAAAAATTGGACGTTACAACTGTATCTCGCGTGAGGACTTCTCAAGTCTTAAAACCACTAGGCAACGTGGATTTACTAGATGGCTTTTTGAAATGAGTGTCACACGGCATTTTCATATGGATATTATTTCTTTTTCTGATTTGTAATGATCAACGGAACTCCGAAAATACTGGCTACTACTTATAAATGTGTATTCAGAAGTACTTCATTCTCCCAACTTTTAGCCAGTAAGTCGGTATGCGGAGTGTTTTCCAGTACATTTCATAATGTAAATGGCAGGCAAAAACTCCTTTACAAATATGGTGATTTACTTCATTTTCACCCAACTGGAGCTTTAGCTCTGAGATTGCAACACTCTCATGGTCCTTCAGATAATTTATCAAATCCAGCTTTGGAACAAAAAGCAGTAAGTTAAATCATGAAATTCCCACCAATTTAGTGTTGCTTTCTTGTGTCGTCGAATGAGTAATTGGAAAGGTTTATATGACTGTTTCACCATACTTAAAAAACTTCGTTAGCATAACTTTTATGAACAATGGTTATATTTATGAGATTGCTATGGGATTAACACGTCATAAGTATTTTAGTCTACTTTCATGAAATATCCTTGTTTAGTTCTATTTTGGAGTCAGTTTGTTTCATTGGTATTTGAAAGCTTAGTCATGCTTGTGTAAATCGTTCAAAACTATGAAAGCACAGTAACAAATTGTAGATTATAATATCTATTAAGTATTCTGGTCGCGTTCATAATTATGTATCTTACCCATTGTATGGAAAGCAAACCATTTGACCTAACTAGTGAGTGAGTTTTCAGTTCTCATCTACTCCATTAGGTTTGTAAGCAACCAAATATTGTTTCCTCTCTTAATGCAATGACTCTCTTTACCAATAGGTGTGTCTGTGTCTTAACGATGAACATATCTTCCAATAGAAAAGGTTGATAGCTCGAAACACTTGGCTTTTAGCGGCTCGGTTTCATATCGAAACCCGGATTAACATAATTTAATTTTATCACCTGTTTATTATGGAACAGTGCAAGCTTATTAACTGTCAGCCACAAAGTTTCGAGTTCAGTGAGTAATAATTTCAAGAGATATACCTCACAAAAATCTCAATAGAGATTCACTGTTTTTATGTTCAGTCAGACGTTATACTTATCCACTACCCATTCATCCATTGTCTCCGTTTTCACTTATATCTTTTTCCTTTTGTGATATTGTGTGGTGTAAACCAGAACATTGTCATGTAAGCTTTTAGGCTATCTCATATTTTGAGATTTTGGGTCCAGAACATTGTTTTGTGTTAAAAGACATCCTAAGGTTAAATATACTACACTACTTTACATTTCAATCAACCTATTTGACGAAATATCAACCGTTTTATTGATTAAAATACGGGCTAGCTATCAGTTACTAAGTAAGTTCTGTTTATTTCTATCGTTTTTTCTGAAGTGGGACTAATCAATTTTCAGCTTTTTGTTCTTGCAATTAAATCCGATTAATTTGTTTGCATTTTAATTTCATTTAGATTTTATCTGACTGGACTATTATTAGACGACTTCTTAAATATGTTTGGCCACAGGATAGGCCGGAAATCCGTTTGCGTGTAGTTGCGGCTATGTTTTTGTTATTATCTTCCAAATTTGTTAATGTTTTGGTCCCATTCGTTTTCAAAATTGCAGTTGACTGTTTGTCAGGAGAAACTCCAATACTATTAGGTGACACAAGTCCTAGTGTGGCAGCTACAACTATTTTAATTTCGTGTAAGAAATTTATTTCATGTTTATTGGTAAGACTATGAATTTCAAACGGTATACTTAACCAACATATCTTTTGTAAGGAACAGAAAGTGAATGTATTTGCATCATATGTATACTCAATAATTGGCATGTCCAATAACAAATACGCTTGATTTGAATGAAAGAGTCACCATCTTCCCAAATTTTTTATGCATATTTTCTGAAGACTGCAAAATTATTGTCATTAACATAGCATTGTATTCTACAAGAAACTAGTACATTATTTATTAACAGTAATTTTTGTCAATACAAGTTTGGCATTAAAGGAATTCTCGTAGTATTATTCTAAGTCAAGTTGCTTAGATGCTATGTTCATGCTTTCACGATAATAATGTTCAGACAGTTTCTGCTTTAATTGATTTTACTGCTATCCTTATCAGTGTGCTTGTTTTAGAAAGCTGTACTCATTTGTTCAGCCATAGCTACTATGTATTAAGCATAAACTCATTATAATTCAGAACAATATGCTGGAGACAATAAGTAAAAGTACTTTGGCGATTTCTTACTATTTAATTAGCAGGTTTTGATACAGTTTCGTTGTCAATAATCTAGATATTGAAAATCTTATTATTTTCTCTCCCCACTTTTGGTATTATTTGTTTCGCTTTATGTTATGTTAAATAGTTTACAAAATTAACGCAATCGTATAATTAAATAAACAATCAAGTGCGTGTAAAATATGCAATTATATGTCCAGAATTGATTATTCGAGTGAAAACGAAGTGACCAATATGACTAGAGTTGCGCGCTTAGTTATCATTTAATTTGCTGGTCTTATATACAGTCTAAATGGGTGAATGAGATTGCTTGAACTCTTTTATTCATTTTTTCATGTTGTAATGATCCGGACGGTATTCATAATCGATACAGAGCCTGGGATAAATGTCGGTTTGGCTAAGTTGTTTTACCACGAGAGCAGGACAAGATGTAGTTACATACAACTATGTATAGTCAGTTTGTAATGTGACTCCCTCCTTGTTAAGTGCAATGAGATTAAGGATATGTTTATAAAATGTAGTTGTTGACAGTATTTACTTTCGTGAATACTATAAGTAAGCCCAGACATTAACGATCTTTAGGAAACTTAACACAGCACAAATCTCTATCAACCCAGAATTGGCATTGATGTCATTGATAATGGAACGAATACTAGGAATAAGAAATACAGTTTAAAAACAAGGGACGAATTCGCGAAATAAGGAATATCAGTTCATATTAAAGATAAGATTCTAATGATAGACAGAGAATGGATGTATCTGCTTCATTGTGCCCTGTCACCCTTAATAGATTGTAATTACCTAGATCTATTCATTTCTTTTATTTACAGAATAATTTACTGAAAATGCTTTGATCCGAAATCAACTTGTAGTTACGAATCCCATCACTTGTTTGCCTTTTTCTTTCATAAGTTTGTCTGGTAGCTTCATGTCTTATGTGGATTTCTTGTAATACTGAAAATAAGGGCAACTTAAAGTGATGCATATCTCCGAATTAAAAGCACTTGTAGTGACGTAGTTCTTATTTATTCAATATGACTAGTGTGTCTTATTACTCTTCAACGTTTTATATAACACCGGCTGATCAGTTCACTTAAATTCACTTACGGTAAATAATTGTAACAACGGCTTTATGGTAAAGAGGCGTGCCAGATTTTCAACTATGGAAGCACAGGTTGGAATGCCACTTCACTCGTGTCGGTTTAACTTCTCGTTATGGTGTTACTACCTGTCTAGTAAAAAGTCTTATTCAGAATCTAGTGCAAAATACTTGTAGTTACATTGAGTACATAAAGATAGTTTGTCACAAATTCTAAATTCATTACTATTTACGACCGTTTCTAGTTCGTCCTTTTTATTCCTATTTATAATCCTTTCAACCTATCTTCTGTTTTGTTCACAGATGGTTTGTTTAGAGCTACTGCTTCTGGTTTAAATGAATTACGTACTGCAGTTTTTGCTAAAGCTGCTCTTTCTTCAATTCGAGAAGTCGGAGTTCAAGTATTTCGACATATGCACAATCTTGATTTAAGTTATCATCTTGGAAGGAGAACTGGAGCATTAGGTAAAGCAATTGATCGTGGCGCTAGGGGAATAAATTTTATATTGACTGCTATGGTTTTCAATTTATTTCCTACTACATTTGAAGTTGCTGTTGTAACAGGGATTTTGGTAAGATTGTATCTTATTTCTCGTTTTTACGTAGAAGTAAATGTTTTCTGTGCTTTTATTATAGAAAAGTTTGTACTTCTTAATAAATTATCAATAAAATAATGTTTTTGCCGAAATGTTTGCTGTTTACTCTTAGTGGTTTCTGTGAAATCAAGAGTAAACTAATTAATGGTTATTACATTCATGAATTAAAGCTCATCTTTGGAATTGTGAATTCTGTGCAAGTTTTCTTAACTGATTCTCAAGGTTATATCACGTAATGTTATAAATGATTGTTTTGCAACCAGTTTAACTGTAATCAATTTTTCAGTATTCAAAGGATAGTTATTGTTATGACTTTATGTCCGGCTTTTATCATGTGATTTATCCACCAATCAAAATACGACTTATACAATCTTAGCACTATGCCAAACCAGTGACGTTCGACCGGTATGAGCAGCCTAGCGTCCTTGTTGGTCCCATGTCCGCCTAGCCCGTCCACTTGAGTCCAGAACACAATACCAGCTTCTGCAATATGAATCGAATTGTTTATTTCAGACATACTCGGTTTATATATCAACCAGACAGACCATAACGTACCATAAAATAGAAAATAACATTTGTACAATATTTGGCCAAGTGTGGCTGTAAGCGTGGGAGGCAGTAGTCAATAAAATGAACATAGTTTAAGAACCGTAAATCGTACAATAATAAATTATAGGTCAAGATAAAGCTTATAATAAGAGGAATATAAATATGCATAATCCAATTATTGAATAGTTATACAATAAGAATATTTATAGAATATTAGTCCATTAGTAGTCCTCGGAAGTTACCCGTAATTTAATCTTCACTGGGATATAACAGTCATGTAGTATTTGTTTTACTGAAACAAATTTCTAGTTAACTTATCATATGGCAAGTATAATGAAATTCATACTGTAGATAAATTTCACCATTAAAAATTTCCCATCATTGGCTTCATATTTTGTAAAATATTTCGGTGTTGTATATGCTAAATACTTTCGATTAATTTTGATATTTTTATTGCATTAAATGGTTAGTTATGTAACCTTTGACTGCGAAAAATTTTATTTTCAGTTTTATCGATAAACAAAACTAATTATTAATTGACTTTTGACAACTATGTAGTTTAGTGTTTGACGTTTTGTGCATTGTACAATATTAACATTTAAGCTCACATTATTTATTTGTAAATTATTGAAACTTATACCATTTTTAAGTGTGTAGCGATGACTCGATATTTAAAGCATTCAAATCTCAGTCACTAAGTCACAGGTTTTAATCTTACTCCACTTACGTCGATTCCAACAATCACGTGGTATAATCAGCCCTCACACAATTAGAATATAGCTCGAAGTAAAGTAGGTAAATCTGTACTTGATGCTGAGCAAGTGCCCATTAAGTTTGTTCACTCGTCTTACTCCTTACTGAATAATCTAAAATTAGGATAATCCATTGAAACATATCTTTCAAGCCAATATATCAGCCCTTATGAACGAAAACGTGAGATAACAAAAGATTACATGACATTTTGTAGGTAGTTCAAAGACTTTCACTCATGCTTTACCTATATAGTGAAGTATAGATTATTGAGAACAATAACTTTATGGCTATCTGACTGGAGAGTGTTATTAATTTTTCTTCGTACATTTCAAGATTAGTTTTATGATCTCATGTAATTTTCAGTCATACGATCTAGTGCATTATTACTTATATCTTTAATGGTAGATTGGTTTAAAAAAGTAGTAAAGCAATTTTCTCAAATCCCTGGCTCAGTAGAAAATATGAATTGATAGAAAACAGTAACTTGTCACTGGAAATTTCATGTTTGTCATTAAAAGTCAACTCAACTTTATTATTATTATTTAAACACAAATATTGGTACAAAGGAACGAAATGATGTACTTGCACCACACAATAAGAAAGTGATATTGTAAAGGGATAGGGAAAGGAACGTGAGTATAATAAACTTTAAGAAACAATAGGTAAATGAAAATGAGTGAATGGGTAAAAACGAATAGTAGTAGTTCGGTTAAGAAAAATACAATCAGAAAGAATCTTTTCAGTTAAAATTCACTTATATGAAGAAAGTGAAAGGAACTTACAGCAGCACCGTCACTGGCTTTGATTCTGAGCCCATGTCTGATGTTTCGAGTCACTGTGTTGCGCTATCTCTAGGACCTTAACTAGGCAGTCGTGAAGGAATGACAGATGCCAGTCCTGTACAGCTTTCTTCCATACAACAGTACAGTATTATAAACTGACCACCTCTGCTTTTTACAATCAGTCCCAGCGTCGGAAAGTAATGCACGATGTGGGGTTTGCTGGGATAACATTCGTAAGACATGTCCAAGGCACCGACATCGGTGTTTCAAGATAGTGACACCAATCGAATTATCGTAGCTGTGCCCGAACATACGATGCCGCACCTCTACATTACTAACATGGTGTTGTTACTAGATGTCATCGATCCTTCGGAGACATTCGCACAACATCCCCAACTCGAAGAGGTTACGTTTCACATGTACAGAGAAGGACTACGCTCACTAATGCATGTAAATCAACTCGTTAATACACTCCGACCATTAGGTTTTTTAGTCTTCATACAACCTTCCAAGCAATCAGTTTTTTGTTACACCACGACAGACAATCGTTACTGGTTAAGGTTACACAATAATTGTGACGTATAGCTGGGGATTTTCGGTGAGGTTCATTTAGAGAGTGAGTTCAATATCATCGCCCGCATTTTTCATACTGTGACATTATTCGTTCCTTTTGAACCACAATTTTTTCTTTAGCTTTTCATTGGAGTTGATTTGATTATCCTACCTCCACTTAATTTTCACTCTCACTGTGAAGTTATATATATATATATATATATATATATATATATATATATATATATATATATATATATATATATATATATATATATATATATATATATATATATATATATATATATATATAACAACTATTGTATAGCCTTAACCAGTAACTCGCAACCTCTCCCAATAGTTCAAATCAACAGTCAATAGATCCATGAGCTGATACTATGTTGCGAGCATGTTCGGGATGCGATTCTCTCCCTCGAAATGCAAAATGTTGCTTCAGGATTGGGTTACATCGACACTCGAACTAGTGATAGGGAGTGAAGTAGTTGAGTGTGTCGACCGCTTCACTTATCTTGGAAGTCTCATCAGCCCTTGTGGTTTAGTGTGTGACGAAATCTCAGCACGGATACAGAAGGCTTGACTAGCTTTTGCCAACTTGCGTCATTTATGGTGTAGGCGAGATATCCGTCTATCAACCAAAGGACGTGTTTACTGCGCAGCAGTTCGTTCCGTCCTACTTTATGGCAGTGAAACATGGCCGGTAAGAGTAGAGGATATCCGTAGGTTACTAGTATTTGATCATAGGTGTCTTCGAAAAATTGCTCGTATATCATGGGACCATCGAGTAAGTAACACAGTTGTTAGGAAACGGGTACTAGGTAAGGATGGCAAATCAATTGATGAAGTAGTGAAACTTCATCAGTTGAGATGGCTGGGACATGTGTTACGTATGCCCAACGACCGACTGCCTCGACGTGCTATGTTCAGTGGTATAGGAGTAGTTTGGAAGAAAGCTAGGGGCGGCCAAACCAAAACATGGCACAAGTCCATGAAGTCACTGACAAGTGAACTGAGTCATGTTGGTAGGTGTAGACTACCTGGTTGGGGACCGCGAGATGACAGCAACCGATGGTTAGAGACCCTGAATGACATGGCTCAAAATCGTTTGCAATGGCGCAGGTGCATCCACTCTCTGTGTTCTCCCAAATTCGAATCTTCTGAATCCTTCATGTCCCTTTTTTCCTCTTTCCAAATTTATTTCACTGTATTATACTCTTTAAATAACATCTCCAAACGCTAATCTTCCCGATTACTGCTTATACTCTTATTACCTCTACCACTACGGGATTTGAATCGACCACTGCATCTCTGTGCTGATGTGGTGTGGCAACTCGAACTGATGTACGTACGTACGAAGTTCTACGTTGTTACTGACTGACTGACTGACTATGTCGCCCCCAGTCTTTTTCTAACCTGCACTTAGCAAGCATTTTACATTGGGTTAAGCGGTGACTACGGACGCGTAATGGTGTGGTCTTAGCCACCGACAAAAGTAATGAAGAATGAAAAGAATCAAAAGTTATCATTATTATAAAAGAAAAGTCAGGAGAGGATTTTTTAACCGACAGGAAAGAGGAAATAAGGCTAACAATCAAATATAAAATTGTTAAAAGTTGGATTACCAAGTGTATCATTAATTTATACATTAATACATATCATTCAACACTAGACAGTATGGTACCGCTAACTACTGTTTAGTAGTTACCTTTTAACTAGCTGTGTATAAATAGATGTCTGAAAATTTTACTATGTATTTGGGTATAAAGTGTGTCTTTTAATTAATAGTCTTTTTCACGTTTTAAATTTTCGTTTTTCTATCTTATATAAAGGTAAATATCTTCAATACTTTTTATTTATTCTGATATACGAAGGGATGAAATGCGAGTCTCCACAAATTATATCTGAGTATTGCATCCTAATTCCCGCTTTTTATGTTGTTTTCTTGTTTAGTATTATAAATATGGAGTAGCGGCCAGTACAATTGCACTAAGCTGCATAGCTGCTTATACAGCATTCACATTTGCTGTTACACGTTGGCGTACTCAATTTCGTGTTCAAATGAATAAGGCAGATGGACGAGCTGCAAGTCAAGCTACTGACTCACTTATTAATTATGAAACTGTAAAAGTAAGAGTAACAATGTATTATTTCTTTTAAATACATAGTAGATGGACATCAATTATGGTCGGAAGTCGGTCTCTATAAGGTTATTTAATAGAATCACTAATTTGTTGAGTCTGCTAATAGTGACTTCGCTTACGTTAATCATCCCAGTGCTACTAATATGCTAACCCTGACTGGCCCACGAAACTTGTTTCTGCCCCTAGCCTTTCTAATCAAACAGGAACAAATCCAGCCAGTTTACTATGTTTATCTTTAACTTAAACTCACATGATAATATACATGAATTACAATACTGAAACGCACCATAAATATAAGAGCACAATCTACGGATAGCTAGGTCATTTGTAGTACAAAACTGAATAACACGTACATTAATTAACTGTAGTTTATGAATGATGAAAGATATACCGACAGTTGAATAAAAGCTTACAAGTATGGAAATACGGAAGCACCAAAAGCCTAAATATACTTAATTAAAAGTCTTCAAAGTTCCATTTTTTCGCTTATTCACCTATGTCTAATAATTTACTGTCACTTATATTTCGTTATTATTTTCTATTTCTACTGATTAAGCAAACAGTACACTCTGGTCTACAAGTTAAATTTCACTCAGTTTAACTTGGGTGGTGAAAAACGTGTTTCGAGTGCAAACGAGCTGTGACAATCACTCACGCATTTGTGGTAACATTCATAGTCACCTTGTTCACAATCACAAGTTAAATTACCTTACTTTACAGAGATCCGTATTTAATATAAAGTGCAGTAGCTTTTGAATCAGTCGTAAATTGTTTTTTTATTGCACTTTGAAAATTAGAACAGATATGAAAGTTACTAATGCGATGAGTTGGTGATTATTTACTCCAGTGAGAAACACTAGAGCTTTGATAAGCCCCTTTTACAATTTTCGTTCTATTTTTTGTAACCCTACTATGGTTGATTAACAACCTATTAACTTCTCGTTATTTTTGAGAATTGCTTTCATAATTATTTTTTAGTACTTCAACAACGAAGAGCGCGAAGCAGAACTTTATGACAAACTTCAAGCTCAATACGAAGAGGCCAGTATTAGAACAACAACTAGTCTAGCTGTACTTAACTTCGGTCAGGCTGCTATATTCTCTGTTGGCTTAGCTGCTACAATGATAGCAGTTGCAAATCAAGTTACTTCCGGTATAACCGATCCAGCAACAGCTGCTCATGTTCTTGAAGCCACTGGGATAAGTAGTTTAGCTAAATCTTTAACTGTGGGAGATCTTGTTCTCGTAAACGGATTATTATTCCAATTATCAATACCATTGAATTTTTTGGGTACGGTATATCGTGAAGTAAGGCAATCTTTAATTGATATGTCAACTATGTTTACACTATTGGAACTTGCTCCAACAGTTCGTGTAAGTTAGTGTTTGTACTCTTTAAAAAGCAATTTGGTTAAAATTTCGATCATAATTTTCGTAATTTTCGACTTAGTATTGTTTCGTGACAAAGTCATCTTCAAAATACATACGGCTCTGTTTAGCTTTCTTGACCTACTAGTATTCATATTCTCAATAGGAAGTAACCTCTCAATGTGGAATTCTCAGAGTTCTAATGAGAACTAGTGATATGTGAGAGTGAAATATTTTTAGCTAACTGTGATACTACTAGGTAAGGATAATGCTATTTGACTGAAGTTAAAAAAACATCGGTCATTGGATAACAATTTAATAATACTTCATTGATATCATACTCTCCACAAGATCTAAGAATTATTATTTCAATCACATGCAAAGTCCAGAGTCATGCATTACAGAGAAGTTCTGAAGCCTATGCACCAAACAGCTTTTCAATTTTCCTTGGTCTTCAATGTAAGTATCATTGCCAAGGTTTGATTTGATAAGTTCGAATAAATTGAGCATTGGGTAGATTGTTAGAAATAAATAATATATTTGTAATATCCCAATGAGCAGAACAATTATGTTTTCTGACGTTTCGTGACTTAGTGTAAGCCACTTCAGAGAATAAATAACCAAATTTGGTTATTTATTCTCTAGATTTTCAATGGTTCTCGACCTGATTTCATTTCGTAGCGAAAATTACTTTCAGAACGGAAAAAAAATCTTTGCGAAGCTATCTCACATCATTATATGGTAATTTATATCCTAATAAGCTAGGGTTATCTACAACGTTCACTAAATGTGTTGTGCCCAGTGACTGTGGTTATTTTCCTGTCTGTTTAGTGGATACATACTGCATAATGAATGTAAATTTTATCAAGGATTTTATTCCCATCGTCCGAAGCTACTCACAATTGTCTACTATGAGCATGTTAGCGTAGTGCAGCTTAACTTTTCATATGAAAAACACAAATGCAGTAAAAATTAGATCTCGGATTGGAAGCTCTAATGAAAATAACACTACAGAACACCCATTTACTACACTAATGGAAAAAATGGTCGAAAGTGATGGGTACAACACACATACTGAACACTAGGAATGCTACTAACTACTTCAATTTTTCTTAATTATCATTTTATAAAACGAATCTGAATGTGTCAAACTTTAAAATATCAATGATGTACGTGATGTATCAGTCAGCAAGTAATATTGTGACTAGATATCACACAATTCAACATTATTAAGACTGTCATCTGCATTAACTATATGTACAAGATGAACTCAGACAAAACATAGTCAATAATTTAAAAAATAACTGTGGTAATATAATTTGGAACAAGGTAATATAGTCACTTTCTTGAACATAAGGGTAATTTTTACCACTATCGAATGTGATAAAATTTTGTTCCGGTTCTGTTTTGTTTTTGAACCTTGCCTAATTATGGGAGAAACTGCTGTAGTAAACCTCTACGCATTTATTTATTTATTTATTTATTTATTTAAACACATAAAGATTGGTACAAGGAGGCACCAAATAGATATGAGGCACATAAATCATTCGATTTGTGTGAGGGCTGGAGTACTGCCCGAGTGCCCAAACTGAAGCAGGTGGTTTTCTTAGGGGACCACACCCTGAGCCTTCGACCTAAGGGTCTAATCCACAAGGCAGTGAAGCAACGTCAGGAGATGCATTCTTATGGTACTCGTTGGCCAACATAGAATAATACGCCATTTGTTCCTTCAGGACCCTGGAGCCCATGCACACCATTGATTTGGAATCAGGGTTTCCCAACGGCCGACTGCCTCGACGTGCTATGTTCAGTGGTATAGGAGTAGGTTGGAAGAAAGCTAGGGCGGCCAAACCAAAACATGGCACAAGTCCATGAAGTCACTGACAAGTGAACTGAGTCATGTTGGTAGGTGTAGACTACCTGGTTGGGGACCGCGAGATGATAGCAACCGATGGTTAGAGACCCTGAATGACATGGCTCAAAATCGTTTGCAATGGCGCAGGTGCATCCACTCTCTGTGTTCTCCCAAATTCGAATCTTCTGAATCCTTCATGTCCCTTTTTTCCTCTTTCCAAATTTATTTCACTGTATTATACTCTTTAAATAACATCTCCAAACGCTAATCTTCCCGATTACTGCTTATACTCTTGCTACCTCTACCACTACGGATTTGAATAGACAACTGCATCTCTGTGCTGATGTGGTGTGGCAACTCGAACTGATGTACGTACGTACGAAGTTCTACGTTGTTACTGACTGACTGACTGAACTCCCTTAGGTGGACCTTCTGTGTCCACCAACCTGGTTAAAGTGCCGAACATTCGCTTTTCGTCCTCTCAATTTCGTAAACAACAGTAATGCCGCGACAAGGCAGTGAGTATGACTTCCCTGGGAGTTGTTGTATGCACGTGGCCATATGAGAGCATTTCGGGAGGGAGAGCTGACTCATCCCACTCTCCGCATTCGGGGGCATGAATTTCCTTATTAGAAATATGTTCAATATACTTATTTCTACATTGAGAGTCACAAGTAAGAAATAATGTTTCGGTGGATCTGTGTCCTCAGCTGGGTGCTATAATCGTAGAGATTTCATTGTCTGCCTAAACATCATGAGCACAAACTTCAACCAGAAGTGAGGTATCTGAACAAGCTGTCAGTTATATGTGGTAAAATTCTACCTGAAGTCTGTGTTGGTGATGTTGTTTAGGCAGACAATGAAATCCTCACATTTACATCACTCATCTCAGAAAAAAACAATTGCACCAAAGTTATCCTCTTAAACTATAAATCTTTACTACCTAATGATTATTTAAGTGATAATGTGGTGTGTGTTACTGATGTCGACAAATATAAGTAGTATGTATCACCAACTGAAAGTGGAATGCCTGGCATTCGAAGGTTGAGAAAATCGAAGAGAAGAAAACGAGAACAGAGAGTGTTTGGTATTGAAACGTAGGAACAGTTAAGTCTGAGCCAATTGATGTATATTTTGCAAATGAAATATTTACTGTATGGTTCTCATATTTTACCAAGATATTCTGTAATTTTGTGTTTAAATACATTTGGTTGTCTCCGCCTCCGTCTACGTTCACTACAACAGGACTAAGTAGTTTATCTTTCGTCTGAACAACCAGAACAAATTAATCAGAAAACAACTAACACAGATCCTCTGGCCAGACTATACATGTTCAAATTAACGAGCTAGTAAACATACGCTCCCTCAAATGAAAGATGCATATAAACAGGCTTTTAAGCTTACACGAAATGCGATTTTATTAAATACTGTGTTGTTGTTTACAGTAATAAAATATTTCTTTTCCATAAATGGAAAACAACTATGAAGTTCAAGTCATTTGTTTGATAATTTTAGACTACAATGTGTAATGATAAAACGAACCTAGTTTTTATTGATCATATTTTTTTGATCCCCTATTTTTTAAATTTGACCTGAAATTTTTTTTTAGAGAAACTCCTTTTGACTATAGAGTGAAATTCATTGATATCAATATATATTCTTGAGAAGTAGCTTTTTAAGGTTAATCTGTCTTAACTTATTGGATGTTAAAATATACATCAGTTCTTTGTTTTCGATATATTCTACTCTACTTTAATATTCAAATTTACATTGGAAATGTAGTTACATAGTTGTTTTAAACTGTAGTTTAATATGCGTTTATTCAAGGTAAAGATGTTATAAAATATGTTCGAAACCGATGTTTTAAAATGATTTCTCTTATCAATACTTCGATGTTAGTTTTAAACTTTTTATTTCAGTTGAAATTCAATCATTACTACTTTTTAGTAGAGATTAACTGATACTTTAAACACGAAGTCGTGTTACTGTATTTTTTTAATGGTAGCACGAACTCTACCTACTCTAAACTGTGTGTTAACTTTAAGTAAACAATAAAATTATGATTATTGTTTTGATTAATTTAGCCAGGTATATTGATGAATGTGTAATTCACTATTTCTATTTTCAGTTGAGATTGATATTGGTTAGCAGTGTAATCCAAGATACGCGTTTCCTCCTATTTGGAACTTGTCGGCTAAATGTACCTGCATCCCAGAGTTGAGTCCCGGAGTGAGCATCAACTCTGGTCTACAGGCACACTCATCTGACTAGTCCCAAATAGGACAACACGTGCTTCCTGGATTCTACTGCTAACCACTGTTCATCTCTGCTTAAATTGCTTGTTGCTTAATGAGGGATATGGAGGCAATCCACATAGTATGTACATATGCCGAAAGTGACTGATCAGTTGTAGTTCTGAACATTAATGCAAAAATCCAAACAACCAGTTTTTATGAATTAATATTTCTGCTGTGAACAAAAACATTCATTAATTGATCTTCTATTTTCTTATTAGAAATTTAAATGTCGCAATATCTTATATTTCGGGTACTAATCAATGAGAAGGAAACTCGTTTTGTTTTTCAATAGCGGCTATGAGTGTTGTCTACTTTTTCCAATTAGCTTTTGATCATAGTTTGCTTTCCATCAGATTTCGCGAAAGTATTAGTTAAGATTTCACTAGCATTAAGTTTACAGAAGCGTATCAATAAAGAAAGCAGAATTTTTTCACATTTTTATTTAGTCCGCTTACTTGGCACAGGTTTATGTACTTGGCTTCGAGTCACATTCCAAGTGTTGAGGGCTAGTCAGCTACTTGCAACGTAGAACCTAGGACATTTGTACATCGGCTCAAGTTTCCCGATCAAATTAGCACAATCAGATGGAATTATCAAAACAAACCATAAAGTAGTAGAATTGGTAACAATATCAGTAATAGTAGAAAAGATTAAGTGTAGACAATATGATTCGAAAAGAATGAGTTCGTGCAATAAGAAAAAGTATAAAATTATTATAATACTCAGGATTTAGCGGAAAATACACAGTGAATCGGTCCGCGTCATTAGCACCAATTCTGAGCTCTGTCATTCAACATCTTTATCTATTACTTACGATAATCACATGAGCCTTAACTAGATTGTCTGGGCCTTACCAACATCATGGCTCAAGTCTACCAGTCAATGACCTCATTGACTATCTTCCACATTAGTCTGATTTCTATCCACATTATCTTCGTTACCTTATGAATTGATTTTAATTTATATGGTGTTTTTTTTGTTTAATGTCATTTTGTTGTAAATCAAACAATGATCACTTGTTTTCTATGTGTTCACTGATTTAACTGCTTTATTCTTCTTCCAAACACACATGAAAATTGAATGGTATGATTATAGTCCTTACCGAATGCACCAAATATACACATTGATCGTTCTAATTCATCTGTAGAATTTCGTGATGTGAAATTCACTTACTACACTAAAGACCCTAAAGATTCTTTATTAAAACCTGGGAAATTCATATGTGATGGATTAAGTTTTAAGGTAAGCAAGCTTATTATGATGGTGTGTTAGTTTCAATAGATAAGTAAAGTTTTTCAACAAAATTACTTTTTTTCATCGATATTATTTTTTCTTTGACCAGTTTTATAATTAATTTAGTTGTTATGGTAAATTTGCACGATGTTTCAAAACACAAAAATAAAATTTGACATCTGCTATGTTCTAAGATTGATTACGATAAATTCAAATAATAAATGATTGGGGAATTGTTCTAATAGGATATGGGATCTATGCGACCTGAATAAGTTGAACAACTACTACACAAAGCTTCAACCATTATCCTTCACGTAATTCATAGAAGAGTAGTCGGAATTCTGGAAAAAGCTCAATGTCCAAATGGTTCAAAATAGTAATAGTACAATTGTATGCGCATATAACGAAAAATATGACCTTGTAATTCAATGAAAATAGTAGACTAAAAGAGTAAACAATGAATCAGAAGTTCAGCAAAGGTCAATAGGGGTTAATATGAATTGAAATAAGTTATCAAAGACTTTCTTACACGTCAGAACAACCATTTAACAAAAATGAATATATAGCTTGGGGTCTTGACAATATCTCCCATGTTAGTGAATGACATTCCAGTTTAGTTTATGTTATTGATTATCATCAAGTTAGTGGTTTTTAAACCAATTCAGTTTTATATTCATTCATGATTTATTTGAACCGATAGTATTTTCTTGCGAATGACTCCTATATATTAGTGAGATATTGTTTCCATAAACTATTAAGATTTGATGATGTTCACCTTTAAAGTCTATTGTATAAACTGACTGGATAGTTAAAGTTAGTAGTTGTCAAGATATTCTAACCGATAGTTTCACTTCACGGTTGATTTTTTAGATGCCATTCTCACGAAAATAAACTAGAAGTCACTATCTTGACTGGCTTCTCAATATTCCAATATGGTTACATCGTGCATAATTTTTATTCCCTTACTTCACTTACGCTTTTCGGATCATATTCTCCATTTTTAATATTATTAACACTAGGTTTTTCATTTTTGCTGTCTATGTTGATAACTTCCTCTCCGTGTTCTAAGGTGATGCGACCAATTATGATATATATATCCCTGGTGTCATAAAACATATAATTAAGAAATTCTTCTTTTTTGCTCGTTTCTCATTTTAAGGTTGAACCTGGTCAACGTGTAGCTATTGTTGGTGAGAGTGGTACCGGAAAATCTACAATTGTTCGATTAATCTACCGATTTTTTGATGTATCCAGTGGTAGTGTACTGGTCGGTGGTCAAGATGTTCGGTCAGTGAATTTGGAGAGTTTACGTCATGCAATTGCAGTAATACCACAGGTAGTTCTGTGAATAACAAGTGCATACTTAAATTAGTCAAGTGATTTGATTAGGTCAAACTGGTATAACATTTTATAAGGGCAGTTAAAATCTTAGCTATTGTTATTCAAGTGAATCGTTTGTTGTCAGCAAACTTTGCCTTAACGTAACTTGTGTTAATCTAATATAATTAGCTGTAATTTTAATGCTCACAATATATCATTAGGTAACTGACTCATCAAACACTTCAGGACAATTAAATTCCAACTATAGTAAGAACAAAAGTAAATGTCTCAGTATGTCACAACGTACGTATATACATCGGTTCAAGTTGCCATACCCCATTAGCACACAGAGATGAAATTGTCAGATCAAATCCAAAAATAGTAGAGGTAGCAACGGTATCAGCGGTAACAAGAAACGTTAGGCATCGAAGACACGATTCGAGCAGACAATACAAATCCGTGAAATGAAAGTGTTGTGGATGTGGAGGAATAGATCATTAATTATCATGTTAAGTCCAATGGTGTCCTTGGACTTTAAATGGACATTTCCTATTGGTCGATATCTGTTCACTTGTTGAATATTGTACAAAATGTTGTTTTCTATTTTATGGTACGATGTGGTATGCTTGATTGGTATATAAACAAAGTATGTTTGAAATATAATGATTCATAACTCAGGGGCTGTGACTTGTGTTCCTGACTCAACTGGCTGGGACAGACTGCGAAGCGGGACCAATCAGGGCTCTAGGTCGTCCATACGTGTTTTCCGTGTTACTATGATCGATCGATAAAACGCTGCTTACCAAAACCTGCAGTCCCACACACGTTACAACAGAAAGCAAAAAATGTCATGAGGAATTTGGAATCTCAGGGGAGGACAAAGAACAGGTACCCTGTGCCACCGCAAACTATTTTGAGGCATGTCATTAAAAGTTTCTAACCCAAACCAGCTAGTCTCACCTATTAACATGGCTCATTTTCCTTGTCTGTGCTATGCTTGGTTTGGCCGCTCGTAACTTTCTTTCAACCTAGTTCCTACACTAGAAAACTCACATCAAGGTAGGCGATGATTGGGCATACGTGATATGTCCCAACCACCTCAGTTAGTGAAATTCTACTTATTTATAAGTCGATTTCCCATCTTTTCCTGGTACTCTATTCCTAACCCTTCGATCTGGGCACCCGGGCAGTATCATAACCCATACACAAATCATGTGACTTGTGTGGCGCATATGTATTCGGTGCCTCTTGTGCCAATAATTATGTGATCAAACAAACAAACTCAGGAATGGCTTATTCCGTGCTCCTAAAATACGCGAGCAATGCTTCAAAGACATATATGGTCGGATGCCTGTAACCTGCAAATAACTTCTATTCTTAATGACCATGTTCCACACCCATAAAATAGAATAGAGCAAACTGCTACGCAGTAAACTCGTCTTTTAGTTGTCAGACGCCTACGCTACATATGACGCGAGTTGTTATTAGCCAATCGAGCCTTTTGTATCTGTGCCTAGATTTCGATTGACACCAGATCATCAGTACCGACGAGACTCCCTAGATAAGTGAGGTGGTTGATACATTCAGCTACTCCACCCCCTATCACTAATTCAGGTGGTGATGGTGGAGAGAACCTCATCCCAAACGTGCCTGCATTGTTGCTCAATGTGGTCAGAAGACTGCATTTTGTCAGTGACTTCACCAAGCAGAACTATATCATCTGTGTATTCTAGGTCAATAAGTGAATTTATTGGTAGAAGATCAATCCCTGAAAAGTCAGACGATGATAATGTTATTTCTAAAAGCTTATCTATGAAAAAGTTAACTGGAAATAGAAGCGACAACCCTGACGAACATCACTTGAAGTAACCAATTGTGATCCCAGTCCGCCATACTGACTAGACCAGCAGTGTTCGAGTAGAGAGCATGTTCACAGTTAATGTACTTCTTTGGTACGTCTTTCAAAAACCGACGCTGTCACAGAACCTCACAATCAACGGAGAAATTTATTCTAACAACTTTAAGCTGTAATATACACCATCTCACATGTTTACATTTCCGTAACTAACTTATTATCTAGTTTTAGTGTAACTGTTCCTTTTTCCCACGATATACAAAGTAGTTAATTATGTCTCACCCATCCCCATCAATCCATGCCTCCTGTTAAGTTAATGAAATTCCCGTACCTTTTCTCATAATTTGTTGACCAAAATCACTAAATGACATTCCTCAATAGTTCACTGTTCTATAAATGTCCACGATTATATATTCATCGAAATCAGCCAAATTCAACCAACTATCCGTCGCTGTTTCATATTTCGTGCAACATCCCAAGGACTGCTATTTTCAATCGGATTTCATATATCAAATTAAAATGTAGTTTTGCTAATTATATATATAAAAAACGCTTTATCAGTATCCATGTTCATTGTCCTGTTGTTTCATAGGATACGGTTTTGTTCCATAATACAATATTTTATAATCTCCAATACGGTAACTTGAAAGCAACTCCGGAGGAAGTTTACGAAGCCGCTCGTTTATCGAATGTAGCCAATGCAATTGAACGTATGCCACACGGATACGATACACAAGTAAGTGGGGTATTCGCTGTTTTTAAACTATATCATCAACTAGAAGTTAGTTATTTTATAAACCAGACAACCAACCCAATCTATTAAAAGTACCTTAACACTACAATGCGGAACTACTGAATACTTGTGTATATTATATACTCTGCAGAAAAAGGCCCGATCGCAATTTAATTATGGTAAAAAAGGACACAATTTTCAGAGTTGCAGTTTTGGATCTTATGTACCTCATGTTAGTCATTGACATTTATCCGGTCTGAAATATAAATAAAATTTCATTACTAAAACGTTAATCGTTGTGATCTGATTGAGTTATGTCACGAATTTGTTCTAGTTGTTATGAAATTGTTTTGTTAACAGATTTCTGCAAGTTTATAGCATATAGATGTAACTAAGCACTGATCGGGATAATTTATCATTATATATTGTCCAACATCTTAACGGTTAAAAGATTCATCTTCCAGCTACAAGTTAGGATACTACTCTGCTTACTTTATTTTGGATAGTCGGGTAGTAGGAAACAGCCGTGCCGCCAATAACTGACTAAACAAATTTATACTTTATAAATTCCTATTTATTAGGAATTAATACATTCAACATACTATAGTTGAAGGTTTTCAAAGATCAGTTCTAGCTTTTAGGTTGTATTTTATCACAGTTTGATTTCAGTTGAGTTGCCATTAAAAACTAGCGGACATCGGACAGCTCTCTCACTGTACGTTAATCTTCAGCAATGCGAACCCACCAGGATTCCAACCCAACGGTCTTCAGGTGTCACAGCAAACTCCAAACCTTTAGAACCTTTGATTTGATGTCAAGCAGTTCGCAATTTGGACGACAATCGTCTAATGATATCAGAAACAAGTCACTACTGACATGTCTGAACTCTATCAATCACGTGCTCTCGTTAGAACTAATGGAACATCTTGAAGTAGGTCATTACAAAGCTGACTATTATATTTATTGGAAAAGAATTTTTGGAGATTGGCTTTGTTTTTAGCTTCTAATGATTAGGCGTTCGCCTAGAGACCAGACGTTCCTTGGTTCTATCTCTGATGTGTTTGTTAGTGCTCAATACTGAGAAGTTTTATACTAGAACAAAACAGTTGTCCAGTACCACCTGATTTGTAGTAATACCTCAACTGGGATCAATCTCTGATGAACATGACATGCATTCACTTCGAATAATTGATCAGTTCCTTTATTTTGATAATATGCATATTAAACTTACATTTAATTATGTTTTTGGTTTTTCTTCGTAATCAAAGGTCGGAGAACGTGGTTTGAAATTGAGCGGTGGTGAAAAACAACGAATAGCGATTGCAAGGGCTCTACTGAAGAAAGCTCCAATTTTGGTTTATGACGAAGCAACGTCATCATTAGATTCAATCACTGAACATGTATGTTTTTATATGTTCTCAATATCGATAACAATTTGTTTTTCATTATAATCAAGGTCCCAACTAGGTGAATGTTTATAACTTCCAACTCATGGAAATGAGTTGTGGCTATTAATAAATATATAATGAGCGCCCCCAAATGCCCCTGTACGGCCGAGAGCGGGCAGAGTCAGCTCTCCCTCCCGAAATGCTCTCATATGGCCACGTGCATACAACTGCCAGGTAAGTCTTACTCACTGCCTTCTCGTTGCATTACTGTTGTTTACGAAATTAACAGGACGAAAAGCGAATGTCCGGCACCTTAACCGGGTTGGTGGATACGGAGGATCCACCTAGGGAGTTGGGGAACCCTGATTCTAAACCAGTGGTGGGCATGGGCTCCAGGATCCTGAAGGAACAAATGCCGTATGAATCTATTGTTGGCTAACGACTACTATAAGACTGCATCTGACGTTGCTCCATTACCTTGTGGATTAGACCCTTAGGTCGAAGGCTCAGGATGTGGTCCCCTAAGAAAACCACCTGTTTCGGCACTCGGGCAGTACTCCAGCCCTCACACAAAGCGAATGATTTATGTGCCACATATATATTTGGTACCTCCTTGTACCAATGTTTATGTGTTTGAATAATTAGTGCTTATGAGAATTGCCGCTGTACGCCAGATTTTACTTGTGAACAGACAAACCTCGTAACGGCTCTAGACGTAGATCGGATTACACAGAGTTACTCTAATTTTTGTTGTAAACATATTAATCTTATATGTTACATCTGTACGAGTGCTCACTGGTCATCAAATTACGCAAACTTCTCGAATTTCGAATCAATTACCATGTAGAGTAAGTGGAGGTGATGCGAAGTTTGTATTATACCTATGTACACTGATTATGTACGATTTGGTTAGCCTTACATATCATCCCTTACTCATAGATGAAGTTCATTCTCCAGGAAATCGATGTTCGGTAAGTACTTCTTAAGAAGTTGTGTAAAAAAGTTAATTTCAAAACCGTGAAAAGGTGTTTGTGAGCTCTCAGTTTATTCATGTTAATTTTGAAGGGGTTTCCTGGTATCACTAATAAATTAACTTAAAGTAAGACTTTTAGAAAAAGTAAAGCGAAAGACAGTTATCATGTCAACAAATACAACCATCTACGTGTTCAAACACACGACAGAAGAGGCAAATTGGTAATTAGCCAGTCTAACTCATAATTTTTTTCAGTATGACGGAAGTCATCATTTGAGATATGTCCAGTAGGAAACATACCTAGATAGTTTCCTCATTAACTACGCTGATAGTTTGTTATCGAAAATGCATTTCGTCCTTGAAATGAACCGAAGCTTAGTCGGATGCAGCTAGTACTCTAAAAGAAACAACAATCTTCACCCTAATGTAATAGATCTTAAAATTCATCACTTTTCCAATTGCTAGTGCACAGTTAAATACTTAGATCAAAACACACGATTCAAGAAGACAGAACTTGGTACTGAGGCTCTGCACATGTTGTAAGTCGGTCGACTTTTATTTCTTCAAGATACAACTGCATGGTAAATCTCAGTTGCGACACTATTCCAATTCATCGTACACAGGGGCACATCGATACAGTCTATATGCGATACCTAAATGATACCTGGCTAACAACATTCCTGATAGTAGTTTATGAATCACTGATACTTGGTGAAAGTCAAGTAAATCGATCATATATATATATATATATACTTTTTTTCTTTTCCCTACCAAAATAATATAAACAAATTATGTAGACTATTCTTCAACGATTAGCAGAAGTTACACCTGGAATTACATCGCTTGTAATCGCTCATCGTTTAAGCACAATAATTGATGCTGATGAAATCTTAGTCTTACGAAATGGTCGTGTATCTGAACGTGGTACGCACTCCAGTTTACTATCACAACCGGATTCATATTATAGACAACTTTGGGATCAACAACGAAGTGGAATCCTACCCACTACTATTACGAGTGCTACTGATAATTGTAACAGCAATGATAATTATAAAATATCCAATTCAGGCAGTCGAGATACAAACACCTAAGGCACTACGTATAAATATAATGGTTTGAGCTTTTCTTGAATTTTGTAGTCTGTAATTTTCTCCATGCCTACACTTGTTTGATAGTTTCAGTTTTATTATTTTCTATCCATTTTACTAACTTATTCATACTTGAACAGAATTATTTTATCTTATGTGGTTTTCTGTCTATGTTAGATGAATAGTTAACAAACTACGTAACGTATTTGATTTGTTTTCATGGCTGCTTGTATCACAGGATAACTTTGTAAAGAAACAGACTGTATAATACATTTTGTTACACGCACACTGTTTAATTTTTCTGCCAACTAGATCATCACAATTGATGAATGTGAAATTTATTCCCATTTTTATAACTTCAAACTAACATCAAATTGATTATATCTAAACTGTAGTATAAAAAATTGATGCTTTAAATGAAATCGGCTGAAACTCAGAACCTATCAAGTCAGTAAGACTGGTGGTTACATAGCAACTCTGAAATGTAGGATTTAATTACCATTTGGTATGCTAATACTCGGCAAACCTATTAATTCCGTAAAATATATTCATTCAGTTAGTAAATCGAACGGATTGTGTATGTGAACGTTGCCATCACTATGTTTTATCGGATCAGTGTAAAGTGTAAATTTCAATCCATTATCGTTATCAGTATCCACGAGAACTTCCACTGTCATTGTGCTTCAGTTTTGATAAGGAAGGAAATTATGCTCTCAGCTAATGGTTTAAATGAATATAGTATTCACTAATATAGATAGCAGTAGGCTTAGAAAATATGATATCCTGTCCAGAGAAAGATTCCATCACTTTGAATTAAGTCACAGTATTAGGTGTTATATGGAATTAAGTAACGTAATTACGTAGTCCCTATTCAACAACTGCTCGGAAACAAAACTCATGAAACTCAAATGATGAGTTGATCAGAATGTAGAAAATGACAAAGATATGGTAAGTCATTTAGGAGAAGTTTTGTTTTCCGAGTTGGATGGTTTGGTGGTGTTTTCATTGTTCTTCTCAACAACATCATCAGGACAAAATTCAGGTAGAAATGACGTGTTTGAATTTGTTCATATATGACTCAGCATGTTCTATCGATCTTGATTGGTTATTGTTGACCTTTAACCTGTCATTGTTTAATTCTTTAATTTGATTGTACCACACCATGTTTATCCATGATTTTTCTGATTGGTTGATAAATTGGATCGGTCAACAATAACCACTCAAGCTATGTGGGGAAATCCGAACACTTAAATTTTACCTGAAATTTGCGCTGATGATTTCCAGATGTTCCACAACCAAACCATCCAGCTCAGAAAACGAAAGGTCACCTGAGTGACAAATGTACTTCAAGTGGAAAATAACATTTATTTAACATGCATATACTCAACTCATATATGAACAACAACGTTCATCAAAAATCCAACAATTCTATTTTCTGGTTAATAGCATTATAGATCAACGGCTTCGATACTGGGATAAACTGGTGTGTGATTAACTTGATAACTTCTTGTGCTACAACTCCACCCATAAATGCAACCACTGAATGCAGCTCATTACCACGGAACTGACACATTTCCTGTAAGTTAGAAAAGAAGGTAGAAGTGGCGCGGCTTTGATAGATTGCAGAAGAAAAAATTATATATATATATATATATATATATATATATATATATATATATATATATATATATATATATATAGTTTGCATCACTGACTAACTTTAGTTAGGCAACTACTGTAAACCAGGAAGCATTGGATAGCTGTTTTATCGTAGTGTGGGACTCAGCAGTGCACATCTACAACCTCACCGAGAGTCGAGTAGAGGATCCTCGGTCTCACAGCGATCGATTTAAAAGAATTTAGTGAATATCATTATGTTTTCTGAATAGTTATGACAATATTACAACCTTTCATGTAAATTGGGACAGAACATATAGGCGAACAATACTGTTTTAAAATAGATCTTCGTCAGACTACCAATTTAGCTGATACCATGGAGAAAGCTATGTCCATCCCAAGACTAGATCACTTAGCTTACTAGTTGACGAGTATCTGTTTTCGTGGTTCGAAAACGGTCTAACTGAATCTATATCCAGCTCCATCTTATCACACTTGGTCGATCATCATGTCGTGGATAGAACTAGAGCATTCATAAGGATTCACCAAATAATTATTAATGATCTTTTTCTTAGTCTTGTTATCATGCTGTTTTTTAGTCCTACACCAACTATATTAATAACAATTTTTACAATATACTCACTACCACTATCTATGTATCCTATTTTATGACGATTAACTCCAATTTTTTCGAATGATTCAATATTCTTTAAATATGTATATAAATATTATCGTATCTTAGAAATATGAAGTTCTAATTGAACATAATATTGTTCTCTTAAATGTAAATAATAGCGTTGCTAATAAGTTCAAAAAAACTTCCACAGGACCCGAGTATTAATCATTTTAAAGTATTACAATTCTAGATAGGGAGTTAGTCAACATTAAAGTGCAGTTTGACACAATTATGTATCCACTCAAGTTATATTGATTAAAAACATAAACAACAAAATAATTTAGTACCAATGATAATGAGAAAGATTATGAATTGAGAATATAGTTTTTAAAAAACTACATTATTTCTCGTAGCGTTCCAATCAGTTGCAGCGTTAAAGTCCGCTATCAGAACTTTTGAAAGATCTACGTACTGTCATTATGTTGTGAAATAAAAAAGCCCCCAAACGCTCTGGTATGACTGAGAGTGGGGTGGGTTCGCCCTCCCTCTCGGAATGCTCTCACATGACCACGCGTATACAGCCTCCGCCAGGGAAGTCCTACTCACTGCCTTCTCGTGGCATCACTGTTGTTTACGAAAATGAGAGGAGGAAAAGCGAATGTCCGGCGCTTTAACCGGATCCCCAACCAATGGTGCACATCGGCTCCAGTATCCTGCGGGAACAATTGGCGTATGAACCAATCGTTGGTCACCGGCTACCATGGTAATGCATCTCCTTACGATGCTCCACTGCCTTGTGGATCAGACCTTTAGGTCAAAGGCTCGGGGTGTGGCCCCCTAAGAAAACCACCCGCTCCTGTTTGAGCACCCGGGCAGTATCACAGCCCTCACACATATCGAATGAGATTTGTGTGGCGCATATGTATTCGGTGCCCTCCTGTTCCAATATTTATGTGTTGAAATAAATAAAATTTTAAAAAACTAAGAGGAATTTATAAAGATAAGGAGTGAATGCGATTGCGTCCATGTGACCGATTCTGTACAGTGTTACTCAACCCCTCTAATCTCCGGCTGCGGTAATGTCTCAGACCAATTGGCCAACTTCATCGATGAAAAAGAATATTATTGAAAATCAAGATCTAGAAGAAGGTGGAAAATGTGGGTGGGTCTCTAATCACTGACATTGATTATTGTGCAAATCCCAAAAAGGTAGTTTACTCCTGATAACACAATCTGAATCAACAAGAATATGTTTGGGCTTTGGATCCTACACTGGATACTTGATTCCGGATCAGCAAATAACTAGATTGGTCGGTCATAATATTTGATCAAATGACACACTTGACTTAATTATCTGGCTAGCCATCAAGAACTAGAAATACATCATAGCACAACAGTAAATTAACACATAAAACGCAATCACAAAGTGGAGTCCAATTGAAACACAAGTAGGGTCAGTTTTACATATAAAATAGTGTTTTATTTTTACTGTAACTAGATGTGTCTGTCTTTGCTCACTCACCGATCACAGATTACTTTCACCTAGCTTTTTGGGGCTTTTAAAGACATTCAGAGAACACAAACTGATAATTTTAGTATATCACACTGCTAATTCGTTTTTATCAGTATTACATACCGTAGGAAATATAATTAAGTAAGTACATTACCTCTAAATAATCTGTGCTAACACGATTCGATGCAATCCCAAACGACTGAAGAACACGATTCAAGTGTATCCGTAACGTTGGTAAGTCAGATTCAATGATGTTCATGTCTAACTGTTCAGAATTTGTAGCAGAGAATTGTTCTTCACGTGGCACTGGAATTCCAGTTGAGTTTTGATTTTGGTTGTTAGAACTGAATTTAAATGTGGTAGTATAAGGCTGTGAGCTACCAGGCCACCGTCCAGTTTCCATCAGAAAACTACTAGCACCTCTAAGAACTAAATACCACAACATGGAATCATTTTCTTTGTGTGTTGGGAGTAAATCTAAAAGAAAATACCAGAGTTCATATTTTGTATACGGACACGCCACTAGAATTCATAATAAATAATAAGTAAAGTGACTGTGTAATTATGCTCGACAGAAGACAGCCATCAAGAAGTTTGAGTTGCTTTTTTAAAATTATTTAGTCTATTGAGAAAAAGTACACTAATGCTTTAAATTAGGAGGTATTTAATCCAAGTTTCTAGTAAAACTACCATAACTAACTAAGCAGTAAAAATATCTAACCGAAGAATTGCGAATATTCACTTATTTTAGTTACTGAATGTGGGGATTGATGAATCAATGCACATTTGTGTCTACAGTTAATTGAAATGGTAATCCAAAAATTCGGATACGCTGCTGACCAAATGAAGTGGAAATCACTAACTGCTTCATAGTCAGTACTCATAAAGAAGAGTAGATTCTTGAAAATCTTAAAGGTTAGTACTAGATTCATAGTGGAGCTATGTTACCTTGGAAATGGAACACCTGAAAAAATCAACGTCTACAAGACAACTTTTGTTGCCATAATGAAAAACGGGTATGACTTGCTTAGAATAAAATCATTGACACTGATAAAGAAACACAAATTTTAACAATAAAAAGGAATTTACTCAGATCGTCTGAACGCGCTGGTGAAAGTTTCATTTCCTCTTCTAATGACCGACAACGTACAACATTCAAGAAGCTTGCATTTTTAACTGAAAATAATGCATTAAAATGTTAATCAACAAATGAAAATAAAATGAGGTCTAACATCTGAACAGTCTAATTACAGTGAG